TACTTTTCAAAGCAAATTCCACAAATCCCTGAATTACAAAACCCTAAACATACATCTCATATGCCAACAGCCACACCTTCCTCTCATCTCAGTGCCATCTGCTGCCACCAGGGCAGCTGTGACTGTGTCAGCAACTCGAGTGTCCAAGGGCTCACAAAAGGAAAGAAAAGAAGCCACACAACAGTAGAACGTCTCAGAGCAGTGGTTTTTCAGAATTTAAAAAAGGAAAGAAGAATGCAACTGCCTAGAGTCACGGTTACCACCAGTGAGTCAACAACACTTTCAAAGCAACCACTGTGATGTGTAACCCTACTCTCTACCCAAGCCCCCTGATAACAATAACGTGCCATCACCTCTTCTTAACAACTCTTCTAACTCCCCTGTCTTCCTACCCTTCAAAGACTCAGGACAAACGCCACCTCCTCTTTGAAACCCCCCAGCAGAATTAAACATCATTCTGTCAATTTCCCCAGCACCCAGCTTGCATTTCTATTGCTAAAACATCCCAGGATTAAACAGATACAGAAAAAGTGTCACTCTAAGTGCTTTCTGTGTGCTCTCCTATAATTTCCACTGGAAATTGGGAAGAAATTATTACAAAATCCCATTTTACAAATGGGGACACAATCAGATTATTAACAGCTCCTTCCTTTTCTTCACTGGCCATGTTGCTTTCTTTGATGGCCCTATTTCCAGCTATTAGTTAAATAAATATATTCATATTTCTATCTGTTGCCTCCTATGGGAGAAACCAGGGTATTTTCATCTTTATAAACGTGAATAATATTCCAGTTCACAAGGATCTTAGGAGGATTAAATTTGATACATCAAAGCACTTACAGTGCCAGGCAGATAATACATGCCTAAGAATTTGTTCATTTTATTGCTATTGTTGTTTTTCTTGTCAGCTGACAAGAGTAAAGCTTTGCACATAAATTCTGAGCTGAGGTTCATTTCTGAGGAGCAAATGACTTGGGTAAGGATCTGTAGGAGAGGAAAACACTGCCTAGCTTTGGCATTTCCCATACTACTTGACTACTCAGCCCAAACAAGAGGTAAGAAAGTTTCTTTATCTCCTCTCACCAAATGAATGTTAGGGACATTTCCTGCTCGGTTCACAACCCTGCAGTTCAGTGACTGTCTTGCTACCATCTCCTCGGCATCATTGCCAAAGTTCCCATATGAGAAGTCAATTAACTCAGTTCTGAGCTAGAAGAAGAAAAGTCACAAAAGGATGTGAGCACAAAGGGCAAAATAAATCTGAGAACCTGGTCGAGTAAACAGTGTCTTAGACATTGAACAGAATTCCCCATCACCACATTTGTTTACTTGTTTGTTTTGTCAGCCATCCCCTGGACAGGAGAGGTCAGCTGCTTAGAGGCAGGCAAACCTCCCATCCTTTAACACTACACCACTCCTGGATCTAACACATCTGGGTGCATAAGAGTCACTTTACTAAATCTTGGTCCAGTGATTACAAATATATGTATATGTCTATATATGTATAAATATATATGACATTGTTCCACCAATTTACAGAAAAATCTGTATTCATCTCCACACTAAATACACACTGTGCACTTTTGTAAATATATTTGTTTGGTGTGCAAACTGTTTCAGACTATAAAACACAGATACTTGTTTGTCAAGGTCGTGATAAAGAATCACAATAAAGGCTTCTAGGCTGACCTGTCTTATATTTAACAAAATTAACTTCTACCCATATATTAATAATCCAGATGTAAAAGATAATGAGCTTTATTAAATCTGCAAAGTAAAATATCATTTTGACTTAACAAACATGAGACTTCTCCAATCTTTCAAAGCTCCATGTCTCTGTTTACTAACTAAGTGATGTGAGTAGGGAGGAAGGTGAACAGATAATGTTTCTCTATTAAATTGGCAAGTGAAACATTCCAAATTCTTCTGAGCTATCCAGATGTTGCTTATGGAAGCTGTAGCGTATACAGGACATTTTAATTCATAACAATTATAAACAATTCCTTATCTGGTTGTGACACAAGCACATGTGCATATCAGGATTTAATCTGAAGTTCAACTTGTTTTTGAACTGAAATTGACATTGTTACCATAATCGATGATACTTTTATAAGTTCTACAGACACTACATACACTTTGAGGAATGTTGTTTAGGCACATTTATACTCTATAGATTTAAAAAGTAATCCTCTGTACACAGAAACTAGACTAAATGACAGCCAAACACACTGAGATTACTCCAGGCTACAGACAGGCAAGAAGCAAATGTGTCTCAGAAACCATCAGTTTGTTTTAAGCAGGACATGCAATATTTTACACTTGACTGTGTCCTCCAAAAAGAAATCTATTCTCTAACAGAGCTTCAGTATTTCGCCATATACATATGATAAAATAGGCTCTTTCATTGCAAGCCAATGGGAAGTTCTTAAATCGTTCCCATCTATACTTCAAATGAAAGTGCTATCCTGATACAGAGAAATGAGCTGCTGGGTGCTAGAATTCATATAATTATATCTAAAGGCACAGGAAAATTAAACCTCTATGTACTTTTAAGGGGAGTGGAGTTATTTTTAAACTTCATGATAATTCAGGATAAAGAGAGAAGAGAAGAAGAAGAGGAGGGGAGGAGAGAAGAGGACAGAAAGAAAGGAGGAGAGAGGAGAAAGAAGGAAGAAGAAGGAGAAGAGAAGGAGGAGAAGAAGAAAGGAGAAGCAAGGAGAAGAGGAGAAGGAGAAAGGAGAAGGAGGAGAAGAGAAGGAGGAGAAGGAGAAGAGACGGAGAAGGAGCGAGAAGAAGGAAAAGGGGAGAAGGAGAAGGAGGAGAAGGAGAAGAGAAGGAGAAGGAGGAGGAGAAGGAGAGGAGGAGCAAGGAGAAGAGAAGGAGAAGGAGGAGAAGAGAGGAGAAGGAGGAGAAGGAGAAGGAGGGAAGAGAAGAGGAGAAGGAGCAAGGAGAAGGAGAAGGAGGAGAGGAGAGGCGGAGAAGGAGAAGGAGGAGAAGGAGGAGAAGGAGAAGGAGGAGAAGAAGGAAGAAGGAGGAGGAAGAAGAAGGAGAAGGAGGCAGAAGAGAAGAAGGAGAAGGAGAGGAGGAGGAAGGAGAAGGAGGAGAAGGAGAAGGAGGAAGGAGGAGAAAGGAGAAGGAGGAGAAGAAGGAGGAAAGGGAGGGGAGGAGAAGGAGAGAGAAGGAGGAGAAGGAGAAGGAGGAGAAGGAGAGAGGAGGAGGAAAGAAGAAGAGAAGGAGAAGGAGGAGAAAGGAGGAGAAGGAGAGAAGGAGAGGAGAAGGAGGAGAAGGAGAGAGGAGAAGGAGGGAAGAAGAAGAGAAGGAGAAGGAGGGAGAAGTAGAAGGAGAAGGAGAAGAGAAGGAGAAGGAGGAGGAGGAGAAGGGGCAGGAGAAGGGAAGAGAAAAGCAGGAGGAGAAGGAGAAGGAGGAGAAGGAGGAGAAGAAGGAGAGGAGGAGAGGAGAGGAGGGAGAAGGAAGAAGAGGAGAAGGAGAAGGAGGAAAGGAGAAGGAGAAGAAGGAGAAGGAGGAGAGGAGAAAAGGAGGAGAAGAAGGAGAAGAGAAGGAGGAGAAGGAGAAGAGGAGGAGAAGGAGGAGGAGGAAAGGAGAGAGGAGAGAAGGAGAAGGAGGAAGGAGAAGGAGGAGGAGAAAGAGGAGAAGGAGGAGAAGGAGAAGGAGGAGAAGGAGAAGGAGGAGAAGGAGAAGGAGGAGAAGGAGGAGAAGGAGGAGAAGGAGGAGGAGAAGGAGAAGGAGGAGCAGAAGAAAGCCTTCCCTCCCAGTGTAAAGGAGATTTCAGCTGCCTTCTTGGGGAAGAACTGGATATGTACCTCTGACCTCTCCACGGAGCAGGCCTGAGAAGCGGAGGGAAGTGTACCTTTAAGGTTTGGTTTTAATGGACAGATGCCTCTGAACACAATGGCAGTGAAAATGTTTACAGTGGCTCTCAGCTGCCCACACGGCTCACAGACCACCACAACCACAGGAAAGGCATGGTATCAAGTTCACCCCAGGACCAAAGGTGAAAGGGGGCCTCCCAGTGGTGGGAACCGTGTTTCCCCTCAGTATTCCAGGCAGAGGAAAAGCAGCTGCTGACCTTGCTCCAATCTAGCTACACAACCTTGCTGCTGGGACCCTACCTTCAGACGCTCCATTTTAAAATTCCCCCAATGGAAAAGAAACTACAACCGCTGAGCGCTCCTCAGAGTTCTGATTCTCAACCTGTTTTGTTTGTTTTCTGATTTCCAAAGTATATCTTCCATCGCCCAGAAGCATCCACAAGTCTAAGCCAAAAAAAGAACTGGGAGCTTTAACGCCTTCAGGCGGTGAAAATTCCAGCGCTCCCACTTCAAAGATAATGACCTTGGGCAAGTAACTCATCCTTCTAAAGAATCAGTCTGTGGTCCGTAAGAGCAGACAATGTTAGTAGAAGTTGCTGAGATTTCACAACAGAAATCGCCCAGTTCCAGCTCTTAGTGGACGTCAGTTAAATGCCCTGGGCACACTGCGCAAGGCTGCGGGACAACCTGGTGGGGTGTCCATGTTTTCACTGCCCGAGATTTGCCATCACTCCCTCACGGATGATTTGTGTCACAACGCTCACCTAGCGTCTCTTGCCTACTTATAGCTTTCTTAGCTTCAAACGTCTGCAGAACCCAAGAAATAAATTCTCATTAAGTACAAGACTAAGTACTTATCCTGGATCGTCCTGCCCACCACTTATGGGCAAATTGCTAAATACCAATTGCAGGCTGGGGAAGAAGGAGTAGTCTTCTCAGGCGCAAGCAGGTTCCTGCACTTTCTCTTGGGGGAAGAGGTGGGAAGCGACCGCAAGTGAGCTCCAGGGTGGAGATGGCATGAAGGGGAGTCGGACAAGAATGCTTGGATGAGGGGAAGGCTCTGAGAGGACGTCCTGGCCTGACAGACTCTGTCGCCTGTACGCGGGGAGGTTAGGACACTAGAGGGAGATCCGGTTGGTGAGGGGTATGTGGAAGGGGACGCAGAAGTACCTGAAGAGTGTGGAGGCCGTCTGGTTCCTCCTCCACGCGGTGCCCTGTTGCAACACCCCCTGCACGATCTCCTTCTCGTTCGGCAGCTGTGACCGGGAAGATGTTAGAGCCAACACAGGACCACCACGCACAGGGCACTGGCTCCCACGGCAGGCGGGTGCGCGGGAACTTCCACGCCAGGACTGCCATGGCCCCTCTGGACGTATTCGCGGCCTGCTGCCACAGGGGTCATCGCCGTCCGCGTCCCAGGCCGCGGGGCCGAGCCTCCAGTGCAAAACACAGGCGAGGTGGCACCGGAGGGTCCCCGGAGTGCCGGCCCCCCATTGCACACACACCTTCCTGTGTCTTGCTGCACACGCACGCACGGGGCCCCAAAGGTCAGCACAAGGTTCTTTGCAGATGCAACTTTTCCTAGTCTTTCTTCCTAGAGGAGGTGGCTGGTGAGCAAGTCACGAGCTGGAGCCATGGTCGTTCCCCCTGCAGAAGGCGGGCGCGGGGGCTCGGGTAGCCCGGAGAACGGCGACTGCGGGTCGCAGCATCCCGCTGGCCTTGGCGAGGTCCCCGGTTCTGCTCGGCTGTGTCCCAGCCCTGGCCCGCGGTGAGCAGCCTGCCTAGAGATGCTCCCGTCCTTCGCCCTGCTCCGCCTCTCCCCGCCTCCCGCGCCGCCGGGCGCCCCCAGACGAGCGCTCCGCGCGGAGCCAAGTCCTTGGAAATTTCCACGGCGGCCCGGGACCGCTACCCGGCCCCCGGCTGCTCCGCCGGGCCCGCCGGGACTCCCGCTCCCCAGCCCTGGCGGAGCAGACCAGAAGTGGCTGTCATCTGGACGATCGGCGGCGCCGCCGCCGCCGCCGCAGCCTTCCGCGGCGCCCGGAGCCGCAGCCGCGCCCGGGATTGGTGGAAACGCAGGTCCCCCGCCTCCCGCCGCCGCGACCCGGCCGAGCGCGCTAGCGCCCCTCGCTCCCGCCTGGCTCTCCTGCTAGAGCCAGACAGACAATAAAACCCAACGGCCCCTACAATATGTGCGTCTGATTACCCATCCCTGAGACGACAGAGGTGGGCGCGCACCCCGACCCTGTCACCCGCGCCTTTCTCTAGCTGGATGGTCGCGAGGAGCCAGGACGCCGGCGGAGATTAATTTCTTCCTGGCCCCTAACCCCATTAAGCCGGTCCTGGAGCCGCAGCCCCAGCCGACACCCGTGCGCGCGTGCGCGGACACACAGACACACGCGCGCGCACTCACACCGATGTCCACGGGCGCGAGCGCGCGCGCACGGGGAGGTGCGTGCACAGCGGGGTCCTCGGCGTCGCCAGCGCCCTGCAGGGACCAGCGCCGCTGCATCCAGCCTTGCAGACAGCTGCTGCCCCAGCTCGCACACCTCGCGGCTGGGATAATGCCCCGGGGGCGCGCCCGCCTCCTGCACCTTTGAGATTAAAGGGCCGCTAATTCTTAGAGGTCCTGACTCCATCAAGTTTATCACAATCCTGACCTTGGGAAAGCGTCTCCCGCCTAGCCCCGGGAGCCTCTGTGAGCCATTTCTGCTCTCCGGGCGGAAGACACAAGCTAGGGTACCTCCTAGAGGTTGCCGGCTCTTAGGCTTAAGCATCTTGTCAAGTGCAAGGACAAAGGAGAAAGTCCGCAGCCTGGGAATCCAATCCGGTCAGCTTAGTCATCGCGGAACCCAGCTCTCAGGCCACAGTTTGCTCTGCTCATCAAGCTGCCGCGCCAAATCCGACTGCTTGGTGGCTCATGTGTTACTCTCCATGGAGAGGTGGAACTTCAGAAGTTGGTGCAAAGTTACTACCAGACACGAAGTCTGGGACAGAATGACTTAGCGTCATTCTCTTAACAGTACTAAGCCCTCTTACAACTACCTACACCTCCGCTGGCAGATATGCCCCTGAAATCTCCCTCCTGCCTAGAAACTAAGTAGACACAGGGGAAATCTTGACGTCCCCAAGCTACATCTTATTACAGTGCATCCTAGAGCAGTCTTTAAAATGAAGATAACCTAAAACCCTACAAAGTGACCCACTCCCCATCTTCCGTTCTGGAAAGGAGGGAGTGGGAGGGGCAGCTTTCCTAGTTTCTAGGGCTGCAGAGAAGTCATCTACCACTTTTGCCCATTAATTACATAAAACACACACCATCCCAATTTATCTTTTCTTCCCCAAGTCCAAAGGATAGTTGTAGAGTGAGTAACATACACTAATCAACAACCAAAATCAAGGCTTACAGCAGCTTTGAAGGAACTACAGAAATGTTTCCCCATTTGATACCATGTTTTCATGCAAATGCAGTGGGCTGTTGTCCCTTCTCTTGCTGACTCGCCCCACCTGTTAATACATTCTTACTTCCTGATTTTTCTTATCATGAAGACCAAGAAAAAAAAAATTGGCAGTATTGGGTTTGTACTCCTCCCAGCAGGTGCTCTACCACTTGACCCACTCCTCCAGCCCTTTTTGCTCTGGTTATTTTTGAGAAAGGGTCTTACCCAGGCCACCTGGACCATAGTCCTATTTTTTGTGCTTCCCTCTTAGGCGGGATAGCAGGCCCACACCACAGCATTCAGTTAATTGAGATGAGGTCTCCAGAACATTTTGTCCAGACTGGCCTCCAACTGAGATCCTCCTTATACCTTCCCCAGAGTAGATAATAGGCTGAGCCACATGTGCTGGCTTGAACACCAAATTTAATCAGGCCATTTCCTTCACCCTTCCCTGTCCCAAACAAGTCAGGTCTGTCACAGTATTGTGGTCTATGTACATGGACGTATTTTCCCCTCCTTCCATACAAATCCAGTCCATCATTCAAGGCCTAGTCAAGTGACTGCAAGTTTCTCTCAGGATAATGTTTTTCCAGACCATCCAAAACACAAGCTTGGTAGGGTAGGAACTCAATAAATATTTGTGGTATCTCTCCTATTTCCTTTGACCTCATACTCTGGATGCCTAGACAACTTACTGATTCTGATAACTGATCATGCTGCTGGAAATTACGAGCTGAGATAGGAGTCTCTGAGAAAGATTATCAGGAAGCAACGTTTATTGTGCTGGCACAGACCCAGCGGACTCATGTCCAAAGCCTGAGCCCCTAAAACAAAGGGGTCTCACCTCTATATACCCTTGCAAGCAGGTTACAGAGGCAAAAAGCAACACTCAACTCACAAATGGCTGCATGTGACTTCATTGGTTATTTCATTTTCCCGTGACTTCATTGGTTATTTCATTTTCCCAGTGCTGTGTGACCTTCATGTTTCAATTCTTTAAGTTTTCTCTCTCTGCTTTGCCATCCCCTCCCCCTGTCTCATTATCAGAACACAGCCTATCTGTTTTTCTTCTGGCCTCCCCTTTCTTGGTACATTATTCCCCCCTTTGATGCTCGGACCCACCCAGGGTCAAAGAGCACCATCTTGATTTAGGGGTTTGTGTTTTTATAACATCATTACATATGCGGCCGTTTTCCTTTCTATAATGGCCTCCATAATAGTCTTGATAGACCATAGCCTCAGAAGACACAGACATGGCAATATTAAGCATACTCCTAGGATTAGACCTATTGCCCCTATCAGATTTTTGAATCCACCTAAAGCAGAAAACCATCCTCCAAACAGGTCATTGGGATCCTATCCTCTCTAAGTCTGGACGGGGACATGGGCAAGCGTCTTCATTCTCTCTGTGATCTCTTTTATAACCTCTTTTTATCATTAATCTGTAAACAGCAGTTGTTTAGGTTACATTTTTTAACAGTTTTTAATCTGAGGTCCACCAGACTTCCAAGGTCAAGGCCTTTTTTATCTATCCTTATGTCAATTACATATCCCCATGTCCAATCAGATGGCTTAAGTACAGTGAAATTTACAGGGTTACAGGTGCCATGGGTGCAGTCATGGGCAGCTATCCCCTTATGAAGGAGAGCTGCATGCTTACCCCTCTGCCATGTGGCCAATGAAACACAACCCCAATAAGGACACTAATAAGAATCCATGGCCAACAGCTGTCTCCTGGCACATATACCTATCATTTGATGTATGGGCTCTTTCCCAAGTTAGGCCCCCCACAGCCACAGCCTATACCTCCACATCCATCCTTATCTATGGCTGCACATGCATCAAAGAGCATTGACACTGGTTTATCAGGGCTAAACACCTGGGTGCAGCTGACAACGTTCCCAGGATTTTGGACACTCCTGATCTCTAACCATTGTTCCCTAGGGTAGTAAGTGGGGTTGAAGCAGATATGCTCTGACCCAATGACAGTGCCTGCACAAGAATAATAAGTATGGAATAGCAAAGTGACAATATTTCCTATCTGAGTAGTATGCATACATAGGTCACAGGAGGAGGGCTCTGAGGCCACGAAGGGAAACCACATCGGTAATAATAAACAGTAATGATGCATCCTTTCAAAAAGAGATAGAAGAGAGCAAATAAAAACCTTTCATTGTGAGTCCAGTCAGCGGGGGTGGTTTCTGCCAAACTTATGGCAAAGATTATGGTGAGAATTACAGCAACAGATATAAACAAGGGGTGACAATGCATCACAGTGAGATAACTGGTGTGAAAACAGTCTGGTTGTCCCACTGGAGAGTCAACTCCTCAAGCTTCTGCCATGCATTGACTAGTCAGCCTTTCAAGAGTGACTAAACTAGGTCTGTAATCCCGCCATTCTTGGTCCCCTGTTGTTTCCTGGGAAGTGGAGACCTGCCAAGGGAGGGTGCTCAGGTTCCAGAGGGTGATCCTACACGGTGAAGCTGGATCAGGGATGCACTCCCACTTGAGAGGAGTTGGCTTGACTCAACTGTGGTGGATCCAAGGAGAACTCTCTGCTACTTTAACTATGATGGGAGTAGATAAAATAACAACAAAAGGGCCCCTACAATTGGGTTTTAATGGTTGGATATTTTATTTTATTTTTTATCCAGACAGTATTTTAACTGAATAGAATTACCTTGGAAACAATGTACTGTTAGTATATATGTCCAAGAAAACTTGCTTAAAAAAGTTAAAACCACCATCTTTTTTTTTTTCATTTTTCTTTTATTATTCATATGTGCATACAAGGATTGGTTCATTTCTCCCCACTGCCCCCACCCCCTCCCTTACCACCCACTCCGCCCCCTCCCTCTCCCCCCCTCAATACCCAGCAGAAACTATTTTGCCCTTATTTCTAATTTTGTTGTAGAGAGAGTATAAGCAGTAATAGGAAGGAACAAGGGTTTTTGCTGGTTGAGATAAGGATAGCTATACAGGGAGTTGACTTGCATTGATTTCCTGTGCGTGGGTGTTACCTTCTATGTTAATTCTTTTTGATCTACCCTTTTCTCTAGTTCCTGGTCCCCTTTTCCTATTGGCCTCAGTTGCTTTAAGGTATCTGCTTTAGTTTCTCTGCGTTAAGGGCAACAAATGCTAGCTAGTTTTTTAGGTGTCTTACCTATCCTCATCCCTCCCTT